ATATATAATATATATATATATATATATATATATATATATATATATATATATATCTTCAAAATTATTTAGTTCCATTATTTTAACTCTTACCACAATTTAATTAGTTACTTTTATTATTATCATCATTATTACTGTTAATGTTAAATATCATAATTATTTTTCTTGTGTATATTATTTTCAGCTGCAACTCGCCTTCAAGAAAGGGAGAAATAAAACACAAGAAATTAATTCTTTCATTTATATTATCTCAAAAAATAGGAAAAGTGGGAACAGCAGATGAGACAGTGGATTACAGGACCTCCTGAAGGGCCATTTTAAGACCTACTATGGGTCTGATTGGACCTTAATGGGGTCTTCACAGGGACTCCGGAAAGGGCTGTACGAAAACCCTTTACAAGGGCCGGAAACACTTACAAAATGACTCTGATATCACAAATGTGGACAATCCATAGGGAGGTGAGGAAGGGTGCTAGGGAGCGAAGGGAGTAGGGTTTGCAAGGTGAAAAATCGTTCAGGGGTAAGGAATAGGGAGATTTAGGACAAGGAAAGGGTTAGGGAGAATAGGCGTTGTACATGTAAACGCAAAACAGTTGAGGCGGTTACCGACCTCTCTACAAGTACACGTACGTCATGTACTTAAGTTGTATTTGTATCGTAAAGTGCACTTCAAAGTTGTTTTGCTGGTCCATTGATTGTGAAATCAGTGACATTTTTTTCAAAATTTTTGCTTAATTTATCCAAATCCATGAAAAAATAAGTTATGTTTATTTTAAACACCAGCTTGAGTAAACCTTGGAAGAAAGACCTTGAAGGTCAGGCATTATCTCCAAAAAACATTTTTCTTCATTGTAAGATGAATAACATAACGCACTGTATGACAACAAGAGGAATTTTATTCAACATGTAGGCGTTAACAATCATATGAACACTTATACACTCAGTATGATTCATTGTGACTCAACACACCAAAAAAAGAAATCAAGATTTTGTCCTTTTTTTTTTAAAGTTCTCAGATGATATGACGTCGTTAAGACACTTGGACCGTTCAGACGTGAAAAAATGTTGTATACATAGTCGGGCACTTGGGCTGAAAATCCTTTCTTATCTCTAAGGATACTCAGCCTTTACTGAATATACGTAAATTATCTTCACACCCAACTAGAAACAAATGTTGACAAACATACGCTGCCACCCATACAGCGAACGTAGCACAAAAATTGCAGTGAAAATAACTTGTTAAAAATCTCTTAGACAATTTGACTACTTTCGTGTCACTATGTACAATCAATATCGAGGCTGGACAGAAAAATAAATTATTTTCCTCACATACATATGATCTGAAGACAGTGATTATACTCAACGCAACAGGACCATGTATGTTTTAAGCATCTCCAACTAGGATTACTCTATATATTATACTATTATTCTTAAAAACAGATGGTAACCCACATATAAGGCTAGAATAGGTTCTGCATGACTGGTAACATTGTCGGTATGGGCACAGACCAGCCATATTTCACCGGGAGACAATATCAAAGTCGAATATATTTACGTTTACAAACACTTGAAAATGTCCGATATCAGATTCATTCATAAATATCGAGCGTTTTAGTTTTTAATTTAATGAAAATTATCACAATATCAATCGGCAAAGTAAGGCTGGCCTATGCGAGTGCTTCACTCACTGAAACAATCTGAGCGTGTGTGCAATAATATATATATATATATATATATATATATATATTATATATATATATATATATATATATATATATATAATTTGCTATATATAAAGAACAAAGATAACTCTATAAGCGGACATCACATAAAGGTGAGGCCAGGTAGAGACGGCAGTAGAAAATATGGATACTTGCTTGAGACAGTTTCAGTGAGGTCACAGCAACCGCAATTCACTGGGAAGAGAGAAAAGAAAGTCAACATCCCACCTTTGTTGGGTTGCTGGGCCAACCACTAGACTAAGTAATATTAAGGTAACGATGTCGGATAAATCTACACAATTTAAAAAAAAAATCTTATGAACGTTTCCTTGCCATTAATATTGACAAATGTAATCTTGCATGATTATGACATATGTCATCTTCCGGGTATGGCCATAGCATTTAGGATGTGCGAGGATGTGACCTTGTCTCTTCCAGGTTATTGCTACGGAGAAGCTCAAGGCAAAAATATATACTATACACACAATATCAGATGACCTAGGCACCTTTCCAAGACAATGCTTCTAATTAAATTGTCATGGGACGCACGCCTGAGCATTCTTTCTGGTCAATACTTCACACAAAATCATAAACAAACACTTATACCCAGGAAGAACGACTTTGTTCGTACTTCTTACAATCATAACAGGTCATCTGTGTGTGTGTGTGTAGTTGTGTGTGTGTGTAGTTGTGTACATGTGTGTGTGTAGTTGTGTACATGTGTCTGTGAGCGTGTAGCTGTGTATGTGTGCGTGAACAGATTGTGATGAAACATCAAAATGCTACCACAGACGTAAATTAGGTATAAACTGAATAATAACTCTTGGATTGCCATTCAAAAACAATTACACAACAATAGACCTTATTGGACACCAATATCTTTGGAATTCCGTTTTTACTTGGGAAAACATTTCACTTTCTTTGGACATTCAGATAGGTATCCTCCCCACCAGCGTTTTGTCGTGTGGCTGGGGAAGAGGGAGGGGAGAGGTGTTGTGGAATCATACATATGGCGTATCTCGTACTGTTAATCTATGGAAACTAATGATGGGAGTGAACCTAAAATCAGAACGTATAGAGAGGAGGATTCCGGCCCATCTTCCGGCTGTCCTCACCAGCTGTGTGCATCTTTCACTCAGAGCGGGCAGTCGGAAGCTGGAACGTCCGCGCACCCCTCGCTGGGCCGGGACCCTCAACTCTTAAGATGGGTTGGATTTAGTGGACGTTACGTTGAAGAAATTGTAAACACTGAATATATGACACAAAAGACACGTAATACTGACTAAAACATAAAAGGCAAAACAGTGACCAGACAACGTTAAAACTGAGACACCATATAGGCTTGCAGCCGTAACGACAATAGACTTTATAGCAGGGTTACAGACGGGCGCCGCGCTCACGCTACAGGTACTCAAACTTCCACAGGAAAATTAGTTCTAGCAGCACAGTGGGGAGGAGGGGGGGCCTTCACACCCTTCTATGTAACTCCCAGCTAGACCAAAAAAGCGTTAGTAGGTCGGTTACTCTAGAAAAAAAAGAGTATATCACCGGGGCAACACAGTTAACGACACAATTCAGCGTAGAAAACCAAACTTGGCAACCGTTGCCCCTAAAAAGAGGAATTCAGATCCTGCTTAAAAGAAGGCGCCTGATCCTCTTCCTGACGAGGAGCGGCAAAGTTTCACCTCTGAGGTTGCCGATGAGAAGGGCAGTCCAAGTAACCGTGTACTCCGGTTAGTTAAAAAATGCGATCTAAACCTATCGTCTAGTTTCCTGATGGAATGCTATAGTGGCAGCACCATTAAGGTTAGAGCTAATGAATTGTACGCGGGATTTCCAGTATAAAAAATATCAATCCATGATACCCTAATCATATATATTATATTTCTTATAAACTTGCAACATAGACCACTTGACTGAGTAGCATTACAGAGGCAAGAGAGCCCACAAGAGCACAAGATTCGGGAGGCTTGCTGGTAAGTCACAACGTTGCCAGAAGCTGAGGAACTCATTCATTACCGATTCTTTGTCGTATGTTGGTACTACTGCTCACGGTTGCTGGGACTGGGCCTTGTCATAGTGCGTATCCTACAGGTACCTGTATAATATGCTTTCTTGCGACTCAAAGAGCGTAAATCAGTATTTATCTACAAAGTTTTGTACAGTTACCTATGCACAAGGTAAGGCCGAAAATATTGTATTTCAGACTATCCTAGGTTTGACTTAAAAGTAATTACAAAAATACGTAATCAAGCTTTACTGAGCTCAAAGTATAAACAATATTCTCATTACTCATCCTTCAAAATCTCTCTTTATATTTTCCATTAAATCACAGAATGACTAGTTTGTCAAGGCGTAACGCCAAAGTGACAAGTCTCACGCGCGCACCAACCAGCTCTGTCATACTTGTCTGGTGCCTATGTCTAGTATCCATCTTATTCCGATTAATAAAAATAACATTGCTTTTTATACTTTAGTTAAAGTCATTAAACGAACTATGTGTGCGTGTGCCCCCTTCATCATAATGTGCGAGCTACAAACACAATGCACTTTTATGCAGGCTCAACGGGGATTACCCGTCGGGGAGAGACAGAGCTTGGGGAAGAAGTCGTCTTTTCCTGGCTGAAGTCTCTTGCTGAGGAACACCATTAATGTTGGGGTGGATTTGGTATAATGGGCAAGTGCGTGTGGGCAATAGTGGCTAATGTAGGGATACGAGGCCTTGGAGGTCGGGATCCAACACCACTGTAGTGGATACGAAGCCTTGAGGGTCGAGATCCAACACCACTGACATGCCACCACTAGCTCCTGTATGAGGGCCACGGCTCGAGGTCAGCCGAGGCCCAGCAACTTCATCTGGTTAACCACGGACATGCAGCGAGGGGCATGAAGTCTGGAGAGCCCATGGCAATAATATAAACACTCGGAAGTCTCTTATTAATTCAGAAGGGAAGGCTGGAGACGAACATGTTCTCTATGAGTTGAGGTGCAGGGACCAGGTCTTCCAACTTGAGATAAAAGATTCGCTGTAACCCTTGCACCGAGAGGGACCGCAGCTCGGGCAGTTTCCCAAGTATACGAGAGAAGTAGTGGGGTTTTTTCTGCGCTTCCGCATTGTAAGTGACGTGATCCCTCAGGGAATTGATAATTTTCATTTGTAGCTGTTCCACCTTCTTCGTGTCCTTGAGACCGTGTCGCTCTGAGGAAAGAAATTTAACGTCAGTAACGGAAGTACGGTGATCAGAAGTGATGAGTACCTAAATATTTATATGGAATTTACATACACAAGCAGAAGGCGTACATAAACAAATGCATTCAATAAAATATCAACTGATACAAAATATGTGCTACTTTAAATACATACAAAACATCTTACGTTGTTACATATAAATTGCTAATTTTAGTACCTGTTATGATTGTCAGTGCTGAGAGACAAGCAAAGGCAGAAATGTCCAGATCCATTGCTTTTAGGGAGACAGAGAAGTCAAGAATGCCTTGTAGCCATTCTCCAAAAGACCGGTCACACTGGGAGCGGTGCAACACACGACCGCTGTCAAACACGAACTTGGTATCGTCTGGGTTGTTCCTGTTAATGAAGGATCTTACATCAGAACCGTCAGTGTTTTCATTTTAATATGGTAAGCAATCGTAAATAGAGATTAGAACTATACATCATCAAACTAAAAGACTATCATAAAGAAATATGGAGAAATACGGACTGTAAAACTACTTACACAAGTCTATATGCAACTCTTAGAACAAAAAGTTCGAGAGATGCAGATTGGAATAGCAGATCTTGGTCCTCCCTGGCTAAGTCATGGTAGCCAGGAATTTTCTCTGCAAAGTGTCTGATGATCTCAATGCTGGATGTGAGTAAAGAGTAGAACTGCTGAATTCTCTCTGCCTCTGTGGAGGGGGATTCAGCGCCGTTGGAAGGCTCCCTGTATTGAGAGTAGTCGAGGTTAGACACATCTGGAGTGGTGTCAACATGAGCTCTTACTAAAGCCGTTATCAGTGACACAGGCGGTGACGGGGGTGACTCCTGAGGGCTCTTGGGCTTACTTGGCAGTCGACCTCGCCGGCCTTTCAAGCTGTCAGTCCTGACTACTTCTTTCACCATGCCGACGACCAGACATTTCTGGAAACGGCAGAACTGACACCGATTTCGACGTCGCTTGTCCACAGGACAATTCTTGTCGGCAAGACACACATACTTGGCATTTTTCTGGACGGTACGTTTAAAGAATCCTTTGCAGCCCTCACAAGTTCGCACACCATAATGTTGACAGGCAGCGGTATCACCACATACAGCACACAACTGAGCTGGCGACTGTGGCTTTTGTTCCGAAACAGGGCGACCGGCACTCATGGGAGGAGCATGAAGCCGAATTAGTGCAGGGTCCATATGCTCACCTGGTCCCTTACGACCAAGGAAAGACATAGGTGGTGTGCTGGAAGTGGAAGGAACCCCCATTTCAGTGTAGTGATGGGATGTGGAAGGTCGAAGGTACTGCTCAGGGTGCAAAGGCTGCAGAGCATCATAGGTGGGGGCAGTTGGATAGAACTCCCCACTGAACGTTTTGGTGGACCCACTGTAAGCGTGGCTGACGGGCACGGAAGGGCTCGGATAGGGAGCCGGCCGAGAATACACTTGTGAGGTATGAGTATATCCCTCAAATGACGCTGGTTGTTGCTGCTGCTGTTGCTGTGTTAGTTGTGCCTGTTGTTGCATTTGTGCTTGTTGTTGGTGCTGCGGGGAAGCCTGAGCGAATGCCTGGTGAGCCGGTGGAGGCTGTGGGTATTCTACAGGTCTACCTTCGTCTGTCTTGAATGTGAAAACTTCAGCAGAACCCAACGGTCTGTACCTAGGAGAATAAGTTTCCTGGAAGCTAGGAAGTGCCGCTGCCGCAGCTGCTGAAGCTGACATGGGTGTGGAGGCTGCATGACCAGGGGAGCCTGGGGGCGGTGTTCCAGACGGTGGATGAGTAATGACAGGCTTCAGATCTTCCAGGGGTGGCGCTGCCAGCAGGTACTCAGCCTGGAAGACTTCACTAAAAGGGCCTTCGCTGCCACCTTCACCATAGCTGGGGGTCGGTGTCGCTGTAAATGCGGGGCCTAACTTGAATTCATCACTAGTAGTCCCGCTGAGGGAGTCGTCGCCGAAAGGTGAAGTGAGGCCATAGGACGCAGATAATGCCTCAGCCACACTTGGGTGGAGGAGCGACTGCTGTAGGAAGAAAGAGAAACATACATTAACAACGAGTCGTAGACTCTCCCTCACACACTCCTACACAGATCATGCGGAAACATGCAGTGACACCAAGAGAGAAAGAAGAGAATACAGAGGGGTGCGAGCAAGAACAGACATCAGCATACTAATATGCGGCGGCAGCATTAGCAGCAGCAGCAGCAGCAGCTGTCATGCAGTGTGCGGTTGCGGCATTGAGGAAACCCCAGCAGCCGCGGGTGTAAGACGCGGCGCTGCGGTAGGTCGCCACCTACACTGTGCCGCAGGACAGTGTGTGCGGGCGTGGGTAGTGCGTACCGGCTCAGGCGACGCGGCAAGGCTGCTGCCGGTGGTGACTGGCGGGTCCTCGGAGAGCAAGGAGGCTGTCGCAGGCGGAGAAATAGCCTCGCTGCTCAGCAAGACGGGAGTGATGGTGATGGGGGTAGCGGTGGTGGAGGACGGCAGGGCGGACACCACCACTAAGGCTTGAGAGGTGGTGATGCTCAGGTTGACAGGTAGAAGCGTCGCCAGTGAGTGTGGCGGCGAGGGTGACCGGCTGGGGGGTTGGTCCTCCATGCTGTGGCCGCGGTAGTCCAGTTCTCGCCCCATCAGTGCTGGCCTACACCTGCTCACCCACACCCACGTCACTGTTAGGGGCGGGTGGGCGTCGATGGGCGTGGCGGCGATGGTGGGTGGGGGCGGCACGCCCACGCCACGCCCACGGTCTAGGCCACGTGGTTAACAGCTGGTTCAACACTCCGCAGCGTCGCCCCACTTCAAAAGGATTATTGATACATGTGGACATTGGTTAACGAGTGAGCCAATATATATCTTTTATGTATCAAGCTTTGCCTTTCTCGAGGTATTCCTTACAAAGAACAATATTTATATGTTTATATATGATTTAAGGAAAAAAACATTACTTTAAGTTTATATCATTACATACTCTACAAAATATCACAAACTGCTCAAAATTTGTTTACTGATTGATACAAAAATATAGCTGTGAGATTTTGAAGAAAAAAAATACAGTAGAAAACTATACTTCTCTCAATATTTTCCACTGAAAGATAATGGAACGGTAATGAACTAAGGGAGAGAAGCGGTGAGTGGTGAGAGCAGTGGACTTCGTGCTGTGGGTTCCACACCTACTGCTGCTACTGCTTCTGTACTCGGCACCTACCCACTCACCACCAGCATGCTACCCACCACAGCTCTCTCTACCGGCACACTGCTGCTGCTGCTGCTGCTTGCTCTCTCTCTCTCTCTCTCTCTCTCTCTCTCTCTCTCTCTCTCTCTCTCTCTCTCTCTCTCTCTCTCTCTCACACACACACACACACACACACACACACTTCATTTAAACATTCTTGATAGTATATATTTCCTCTAACAGTATATATCTCTGGTCTATTTCTCTCTCTCTCTCTCTCTCTCTCTCTCTCTCTCTCTCTCTCTCTCACACACACTATCTTGTTCTTTCACTGTGTCCCTCTCTGAACTTGGCGTGTGTGCAACATTAGCACACAACATTACTACGGGAAAGGCCGGACATGCAACTAGGCAAGGTATTGATAACAGAATATATAGGAATGTGGAGAGGTTGGGAATGAAGCATAAGAGGCCAAAAAAAAAAGGCAACCAAAATCAATTTCAGTGACTTGGCTGGTGCTTTGGGTATCTGTACCAGCGGCAGTGGTAGCGAGTGAGGGTGATCAGGCAGGTGAGTCGTGTGGATGAGAATAGGGCAACGCAGAGAAATAGGAGGGTGTGCACACACACAAACACACACACACACACAAACACACACACACACACACGCGCGCGCACACACACACACACACACACACACACACACACGCCATTCCACAAGCAGGTGCACAGCCACAAGCAATACACGAGGAATTTCGTGGGGAAATGAAAGCATTTAACTATGTGCCCGAGGATGGTTGGGAGGGAGAGGGGAAGGAAGTATAGGAGTGACTGATATTCAAAGCAATTATGTCACATGTTATAATGTAACTATTGAAACACACACACACACACACATATATATATATATATATATATATATATATATTATATATATATATATATATATATATATATATATATATATATGTAATGAATGTGTGTGTGTGTGTCTTCGTGTATCTGTGTGTGTGTGTGTGTGTGTAATTACATAATTGAAATTATTTTCACTCTTACAATTATATTTTTTTCTGTACACTGAAAATATTTTGAAAAATTCTAATTGGGACTTTTGGGTACAGGTTGATTGTTGAATTATTGCCAAGTGAGAGAGGATGAGGGTAAGGGGTCATGGTCAGGGAGGAGTAGGGGTCTTGAACCCCGTGCTCCCGTTATTTTGACTACCCCCATCCCCTACACCATGAAGGTAAAGAGGGAGCAGGGAGGAGTAGGGGTCGTGAACCCCCCTCCCACAAACACCCTTAAGGCTATGCGTGCACTGTTATTACTCATTACAGTAAATTAATAACTGGTATTTGGTCAGGCAAATCAATTTATAAGTGATTTCTAACTCATATAATTAGGACTATAGAGTTGGTTATGCCTATTTATCTCATTCAGCTGTAACAATTAATTCTCATTAATACTGTTCTATGCTATAGAGCTATATATATATATATATATATATATATATATATATATATATATATATATATATATATATATATGCAGAATAGGTAAAACTTGTTATTTTGGCTTAAATAGCAACGCTCTTCTTGCCGAATAAAACGATCGAAAATTTGTGTATGCAATAATTTCGCAAAAATCATCCTGAAAACGAAGAACATGTATTTCATTGTGTTTGTTTATTAAATTACTGTAAACTTATATTACGTATATTTAGTTGGATTAGGCTAAATTAAATTGTGCTTGTTATAATAGGGCTAGGTAAGTTTCCTAAGGTTCTTTTGGTACAAAATTATTAACTTTTTTATATTAATATAAATGAAAAAAAAATATATCTTTAAATGTATAAGAGAAAATTTTAGAAAGGATTTAATTTTAAATGAGTTCTCGCTAACTGACCAGTTTTACCTATTCGGCATATATATATATATATATATATATATATATATATATATATATATATATATATATATATATATATATATCCTTTAGTTATATTAATTTACTTTTAATAATACTGCTGTATATTTCTCTAATCTGTCTAGTTTAATAATCTGTCTACTACTATATTGCTCTGACAATAACTATCACCTATCCAAATGCTATAATCCTCATAATATACAAATTATTACAGAAGTCATTGAAATTCAGTGTAATATTATCCATTTTGTATGCTCGGAACGTAATTATGAGCTAAATATATATCTGTTGTTTCACGTCACTAGCAAGACTTGCGTCTCCTTGATGTGCTGACTTCTTTAATTGTTAAGGTAAACATAGTGAGACGTCACCGTGTAATGTGACGTCACCGTGTAGTGCAACGGCACTGGCTACGTGGCACCAATAACGAGGAAGTAGTGACGTCACAACTCATCTGAGACGCACTGAGCTATCGGTCACCTCTGTAATTATTATTTTTGTTTTTTATTATTCAAGGAGAGGTGTTAAACCCGCGAAGGTTATACAGCAATTAATTAGGATTAGTCAAAGGAATGGGAGGACAGCTTCATTTCCTTGGATCAAAAGACTCTCATCTGTGTTAAAGTTCCTCTCTTGAAGGGTATTCATTTGGAGACTTTGTCGTTCAACCTGATATTTATTCTGGCTGTGAATAACAAACGCCCACTTGAGTAATTTATAGTCTAAGGCGGATTTGCTTCTAATTGCATAAAAGACGTTAAAATTGGGAAAGGTGTTTGTTGTGGAGTGTTGCGGTGGTTGTGGTGGTTGTGGTGGTGGTGGTATTCTGGAGGTTATGGCAGTAAGTTGTTGGGGGAGATTCATAACGTGTGCAAGGTGTTGTATATGGGTGTTAATGTGGGCGTGAATGTGTGAGTATAAAGGTGGTGTAGATGTGGAGTTGTGCGAGTGTTGAGGTGTGGGTGTTGGGGTGTGGAAGTGTGGGCGTGGTGTATGGGCGTGGAGGTACGGGCGTGTAGGTGTGGGCGTGGAGGTGAGGCGAGGTGAGGGGTGGAGCTCGCCCCACCTCACGACAACATCCACTTTTTCTTCCCAGGTGAGCCCAGCCAGCTCACCCGCCCTCGGTAATTGCCAGACGACGGCTGAAAGCACTGAGCCCACTACCTGTTTGATTCTCAGTCTCTATTCCGCGCTACTGCCTCCAACTTTACCATTATCTTCTCTTCTTCGTGTCCCCTTTACTCTAAAGTGCCGAAGAAAATAATTACGCCGTTGGTGTTATTTTTACCACAGACATTGCACATGACAACATCAGAAGTTTAGTTCTCAAAATATTTTAATGACTTGGAGATTTTTTTTCTAAATAGGTAGATAAAAGTCCAAGAGAAGAACTCTATTTTTACCAGCCGGACCAGGGAGGATGGAGCTCAGGGAAGAGAAATGAGAATACCATTGTTTCTACTTAGCTTAGCAGACAATGCTTACACTGAAAAGAAGCATCACATTTTCGTCTCGTCTATTTAAAGCGACGATATTAATTTCGATCAATGATTTGCAAAAAGCTGATAATTGCTGTTTTGCCGACGTCCCCGCTCGGAAGCGTACTGGAGTTCGCTAGCGGTCCCTAACGCTGCGACAACCAGCTCCTCTCATCTCCGCTCAAGCGACCGATATTTTACTCTCAACAACTGATACTCTATGCAACATTTGCAAAGTAACAGTTTTTTTTCCAAAAGGATGGATTTGCTTTATGTTTCTAGGGTTGTAATAAAACAATTGGTAAATAATATAATTGACTGGGACGTCCTTGGAAAGACATTAAGTGCTATACAGCGTCTGATGTAGACGCACTAAACATTGTGAGAAGCAATAATGGCGCTGTGGTTGGCCGTCCGCAACCACAATAAGATAGTGACCCTTGATGCCCTCGCCTGATACGCTCAGGCTACTCATTACTGATCCTACAAGATAGAGGCGGCCAGGCAAAAAGCTGACCTCCTTTGCACTGCAGTTCCTTCTTTCTTATCCACTGCCGTTTGCTAGTAATTAACAGCATCTTGGGCCAGATGGTGTGGGACTTCAATAGCGGCGCCGAGGATGCGGGCGCGCTAGAAAGCAGCAACATTCTTAGAGACCTCCCGCAGTTTTGAGGGCGTCGCCCGGACGGCGACAGTAACACCTGCAGGAGGTCCCTCCCGACTCCCCACATCCACACCAGGGATATCTCCCACTCTGCTCTGTTGTCACTTTCATTGGCACTAGGCCATGGAGAACCACACCCAGTGCCGAGTAAGCAGTGCCTGTATTCCCCCACCCTCCCCCACCTCCACACACCCTTCACTCGGCCGCCTTCTGCCTCAAGGTCTTACGAGAAAGGTACTGCACGCTACGGGCCCACTGTCCTACATCTAATACATGAGCAGTTTTGGGTAAAAGCAGATTATTAAATACTCCTCGAGTCTGTATAAAAAATCTAAGACCCTGTCTATTATTTAAGAACTGGCTTGAATTTTCTAACAATTTGAGAGAGATTCTTATAACTAGCCAGTAGACCGTAAAACTCTGGCGTTTGTACTACCTTACAATATCCTGGAGCCTCCAAGAGACAGAATAGAAGCTAAATCAATATTAATAGAATAAACTGTATTCTAAATCTAATCCCAGTTCATCAGTTATATATCGAGTCAAGGACAAAGTTGTGTAACTACCTAAAATACACTTTCCAACACTAGTGCCTTCTAATAACAAAGTTTAAAACAAGTGCCAATATCAACACCACTATAACTCTAAAACTATGCGTATTCATTAGTTCATTCGTTCCGTAAAGGACTGCTAAAACCAAATTAACATTTCATCCTATCTACAAATATGTGGTAGAATACAGGGACATGTTTCCTATTGTAAAATTAGTATATATATAAGTAAACATATGATTAGAAGTCATTACATATACTCAAAATCAAGCGCCAAACCGTATAGGTTATACAGCATATGATTAGAAAGCTTGCCCACTTTCGTGTGATTATATACATTATCAAAGATTTTCATATCTTCTATTTTTTACCGTGATACTTTAAACATAATCGTAAACATGCATTTTAAGTGGTCATTGATATATTATTATTATAAATATATATATATATATATATATATATATATATATATATATATATATATATAATATATGTGTGTGTGTAATAAAAATTTATGAAGAAATAATAAAGGTTCAAAAGTAAAATTGCTTACGATTTAAGTAAAAGTACCACATAAAAATACTTGACATTTTCACAATTAATACCCTGTATTCTAGCAAACTAATCTGCAGAAAGGACTCAACGAGTGGACTGTGTGCCAGATGTGACGTCATGAGTGACGACACCGAGGAAGTAATGACGTCGGAGAGATGCTTACCTGGGGTTGGAGGACGAGCATGTTATGGGCGTGGCTGTGAGGTGGTGTAAAGGAGGGATGGGGCACTGAGGTCGTGTCTTCAGGGGCGAGGGGACTCTCTTGCGTTACGTCCACGCCTGAAACATAAAGACAGCATGAGAAAACAAGCACATTAATGCAAAATAAATTGGTAATATTAAATAATATAATGATAATTGGTTGCTGTCATCAGGTAGGAAAATATATCCACTGCTGGTCATTATTTTGAGATGACCAACTCAGTAGTGGCTGCCCCCATGAATATATCTCAGGAAAAACATATAAACTATATGAAGATAAAAATGCTTATAACCTAAAACAAAAAAGGTCAGCTGTGCAGAATACAAATCTCCCCAAAAGTAAATGTGCATTTTAAGACATTCTGTATATAAACAGTATATAGGTGATACCACAATATGCAGAATAACCACTGTGAGAAAACAGTCAACTTCCAAGAGCTTTCGTGATTTCTCATATTTTCAAGGAATTGTAATACTGTAAATGTTCTTGGATAATGTGAGAAATCACGAAAGTGCTTGAAAGTTCACTATTTTTTGACAGTGGTTCTGGATATATTTATATACATATATGCATGACAAGCCACGGGTCAGGGGGGTTGTAGACCTTTAGCTCGAGAACTTTCACACCTCTCAGTGCGTCATCAGGAGCTGTGCAAGTTACCTTGCAACTCTGAAAAAGCATCTGATGACGCACTGAAAAGTGTGAAAGTACTCGAGCTTAAAATTTACACCCCCACAGTGGCTTGTCTCGCATAATTAAGATCGTCTGTCTGCGATTCTTTGCAATATATATATATATATATATATATATATATATATATATAATATATATATATATATATATATATATATATATATATACATATACATATGTGTGTGTGTGTGTGTATTTACTAAAGGCTCTGGGAGCACTGTATACTGTGCAACTAACACAGCAATGAAATGAAAACCTTGTGATCGTAATTTTTGTAGAAAAACAAACGAGTGACAAATAAAACGTCGCGAAAACCCGATACACATTTTTTTGTCAGTAATAAAAAAAAATTTAATTAACTGTTTTTTCCATCATAAAAACCCATAACTTTCAGCAAAAATACCTAAAATTATCTACAAAAATTAAACTATCTTTCAACAAGAACAGCTGGAAGTTTGAACACAAAACAAATCTACAAAAAAAAAGCTGTAATTAAAAACAAAAACAACTTTTTCTACAAAAAATTCTATAACGATATCAGATTTTTTTCATTAAAACACACGTAATTTGCTACAAAAACACCTGCAATCTGCTGCGAAAACACCTGTGACTTTCTACAAAAACACCCGCAATTTCCGCTTCTCTAAACACGGGCACAACGGACGTTTGTTAAGTAAACCAGGACACTATGATTTATATTTTAGTTGAAAACTTGTGAGAAAAAAACTGCCTTCACGAGAGAAATTTTCAGCCATAAAGTTCCACGACCGGAAGTTCGCATCAGTCAAGGTCGGTGGCCCAGCTGGTACCATAAGTGTAAAATGCTCTATTAACACCAGAATATCATTATAATATCTTTTTTTTGTTGACGGGCTTAACCTATGTGGGACTAGTAGGAACTCGGCCCCCATCCCGCTAACAACGAGTTACAGAGACCATTGGGATAGATATACTCATCTTATTCCACTGCTTGTGGTGAAGGACCCGCACGGATTTACCGTTTAATGAAATACAATACAGAAATTTGCGTCTAATCTTCTCAGTTACCAGAAGATGAGTTACGCCTGGAACCAGATACCCGGAGAGCAGTCAGGTGAGCAGGTCAGTAGGTGAACCTCAATTTCGGTCACTGAAGGTCTTGCGCTCAATGACCCAGAAGAGTTTATTGCTTCACGTACAGTGGTAATCAACAGTAGGCGCATCTACACAGACAGGAAAGCCACATCTTGAGGACTGAAACTCAGATGGTCACGTATAATGTGCGAACATGACCGCGGCTGGTGAGAATGATTCGCCAGGTCACGAAATACACCCTAGGAGGGTGTAGGCGGCGGAAACTTGTCCGCAGTGTCACGATTGAGGGTAGATCAGGGTCCCGGCAGGTGAAACTTACTCACCACCTCTCACGAGTTACAGCTGGTCTTCGCCTGACATGGAAGTGGATTATAATATTCCTGAGTTGGTGTTAAACTCGTAGTGGAACCACACAGCACCAGAAGAGGTGCGGCCCAGCGGCCGCAGCAACGCTGTCTCGGCTCCACAACACGGGAGCTGCATCTTCCTTATCGATGACCTAAGTATCTCCCAAATTTGTTATTACGTCGTGTGACGGCGGTGATAAGACGGGTCTCTTGTGCATTATTTTTATCAATATTGATTTTTTATTATCGATTACTTATTTTTGATTACTTATTTTTATTATTGATTACTTATTATTATTATTATTGAAACTAACGATTTTGCATCTACAGCAAATTATTCCCATAAGCAATTCAAAGTGACACCCAGTGACACGCAGGAGCCAGCTGTCAGTAACGAGGAATCAATGAAGTTCAAAAACGAAATTCCCTCAGCGGAGGTGCCTTGATGATGGCGTGGGGATCTTGATCCAAGGATTAATTTTCTCCTTTCTTGGATAGATCAGAAACTCTTCCCACTCGAAATGTGTGCTATATGACCTCCTATGGGTTTAGCTCTTTGCCCCCCCCCGATCAAAAATAAAATCAAGAAAGCAACAATGAGGGCCAAGCTGGGATGATCCAAGAAATGTTAAAAGAAGCGACTTATTCCTTAAGACTGCAGAGGATTAAGTTTGGGTTCAGTACACACGCACACGCACACACACATCAACACCCACCTTATGTGCATGCTAACAAATATGTTAGTTCACACACATAGATGGGTGTCACGTCCCGGTTCCTGGCTGTGTGTGTGTGTGTGTGTGTGTGTGTGTGTGTGTGTGTGTGTGTGTGTGTGTAATACACATACCGTAGGTGGGCACAAGCACACACAGGAGCCAGGAGCCGAGACGCTACGTCTATCCCCCTTCAACATGCGGTGTACTAACCTATTTATCATATGCTTGATGACATTTTTAGCAAAGCTAGAGAGTTATCCAGTCATTTCTGATCTTGTTTCATAATCTGCTGCTAGACATAAATGCTTTACAAGGGACTGTCGGAATTTTTGGAATGTAGTACCGAGGAAAACCTGATAACAACACATCCCAGCACATAAATGAATTTTCCTCGTGTTGGAAAAATTACTGCGTATTTAGTCGAGCTGGGGGAGGGGGAGGTAAATAAAAAAATGTGCTAAAAATCCGTAGACTTGTATAGCAGCCCCTGTTTTTTTTTTTTTTTTTTTTTTTTTGTATAGAAGTTTCCCAGCTCAGGAAGACAAATTTCAACACTTCGTATGAACCCCATCCTGCGTGATGGAGTATGACAGGGAAAACATACACAGCTGGAATAGAAGCTAGCAGTCATATAGAATAGAGTGGATAGAGAGAGATAGAGTGGTAGAGAGCCCAATGTGGATGCATTCAATTTTGGTAAATAAAAAAAATTGTTTGTATAGTAACTAAGAGTCCATTGGTCACAATTTGGGGAATGATGAGCTCTTATTGCTCGAGATTGTGTGAGAGAGAGAGAGATAAGAAAGATAGAGAGAGAAGAGAGAGAGAGACAAAAAGGAGATAAAAAGTTACATTTCCGCCTCACACCTGTCTCCACTTACCCTCGACGTTCATAGCAAACAGCTGGTTGTACTGCCCGAGGTGAAAGGTGACGCAGGGAATCATTGATGAGTTGGTGTAAGGTCCCGCTGACGCTAAATTACCTCCTGCGAGTCCAAGTCCACTGTGAGGACTTTGTTCTCTTGCGAGTCTGAGTCCAAAGTTCTGGCTCAGTTCTATGGTGAAATTTTGCTCTCCACGTTAAGCGTACCTTATTATTATTATTATTATTATTATTATTATTATTATTATTATTATTATTATTTATTATTATTATATGAGAAGGGAAGCGTTAAGACAGTTTTTTTGTGTGTGACCGTTTACGTTTTTTGTTGTTGATAATACTGTTACGATTAATATTAGCATCGATATTACTGATATTATTGGCGTTTAGTATTTTCTATTATGTATTTTGTTAATCTTAACATTTATTTGTATTTTGTTATTTTGATTACTATTTTAATTAATTTTTTATTATATGTATTATTTGTATGTATATATTTTGATTATTTGTATAATCAGACTTTCAATATTTTGATTATAATTTGCAAATGAGAATTATTATTGTGATTAGATCAGAATTTATATACACCAGCTAAGATTTTTTTTTCAATGCCGCACACGACATCTACCGTTTGCTTTATTTTGCGTATAATTTTAGAGTGAGTTCTCTTTGTGAATAATGTGTTGACTACAAGTAACAGACAACATATGTAAATGTTGTTGGTCTTAAGAGGCAACCAGTGGAAATATATTTAAGCTTCCTTGTATAGTTGATGCATAGCTGATAGACTGGATCAGTTACTTAAGAAATGTGATGTCAATAAAGATCGGTTTGGGTTAATAGATTTAGTAGAGCCAACACCGGCTGAACTTGCCTCGTGTGTATAGGGATATTTTTTTAACAAGAATTACCAATGAAAGTACATTCTAATTTTCAGGACTGGAAAGCAAGCTCAGTGCAGCTTCAACTCCAGTGATCACAACTGTTCATGTGTAATAATGCACCTCCGTACCTGCAATAATGACACTTGCAAACGTCTGCTGGCTCTTCAATCCCTAATGCTGCCTCTTAACTTTTTTTTCAGAGTTAAAGAAAAATTGATGTATAAAGCTTTGAAAACTTGAAAATTTATTAAAAGCCTCCAAATAATATATTTCTCTTCGCAAAGCTTATCACCAGGAATTGCACACAGGAGAGCTTATCGATGCACGGAGCTGAAACACCACACTCCCGAAGCTTCCGACACCAGAGCGCCTCTGACGGCCTCAGGCTGTGCTCCCTCCTATAAAAGGTGACGGTAGGACCCTTGGGATCCGAGCATAAATTTGCTGGCATTTCGCGGCTGCTTGTTTTAATTTGTTGAC